ATTTCTCACTCTGCCTGAATAACCCAGGGTCTTCCTTTTCCCATCTGCCTATTTATTCTTCAAGACCTGACTCAAATGTTGTGGTCTTTCAGAAGTTTTTTCTGATTTCAGTGGCATTCTGCTTTAGATTATGCTAGAGTTTCAGAGAAAATTTAATACGGATCATTTTATGAAAGATGGGAACTTCTTTGGCAGATAAACCTCCTTTGTGTACTCTATCTTTGAGGAATATTAATATTAATTCATAATTATTCCATGAAGCCTTTGTCTTTCTACTCCTTCCTTCCTCTTTTTGACGGGATAGGCCACATAATAAGCATGATCCTCTGGCCATGGAACCATATGGATAGTTTCTTCAACTCATCAGCACTGGCAAATACTGTCATGGTTCAGTACCCTGTTGTGTGGCCACAGAAAATGCTAAGACAGGCCATGTTTAAAAAGACATAGACTAATTGTGAAAATTGGCTTGCATTTCTCATAAGCCAAGTTTAATTTTCACCAGTGAGTTGACTTAAAAATACACATTAAATAGTTGCATTTCTTATTCGTCAAGCAACTTGACATTATAACCACCAAGGACTGATTTGATTTTTAATATGCTTTGAAATCAACAATGATAATTCAAGTTATAGGTTGATAATTATCAATATTGTGTCAGAATATAACCAAATGCCATTTGCTCTAACATGTAGACTCAGAGATAGCTCACAATTAAGAACAGAATAATAGGAAAGGAATAAATTCGTATTATCACATATCCCCATGATTTTAGTAATGTTTTAAAATAAAAATAAGCACTTATGATTTACCAATGTTGAAGAGCCTTACTTCCATTAATTATATTTTTTCTTTTTAGAATATTTCTCTTGGAGGATGGCAGCTTCAAGATATACAATGTTACTAGGTCAGATGCTGGATCATATACGTGCATAGCCACAAATCAGTTTGGCACTGCAAAGAACACTGGCAGCCTCATTGTAAAAGGTATCATATTATCTTCATTTGTGCTAGATGAACACTGGAAATATGCATGCATATCATGACTTGTATCACAGTGTCAAACCTGTACCATATTATATATGTGAAATAGTTGATTTCACAATTTATTTAAGAGATCCATTATCGTACTCATTAATAGGATGCACACTTTGCCAGTAGGATATCATGGTAGATGTGAATACTTTGTCAATCAAAAATGCTATCAGAGTAGAATTAGAGTTAAAACCTACACCTAAATTATTTGACTTTTTACATATGCCTTAATGTTAGGGGCCATAGACATTTTGATAAATTCACTAGATAGCATTTTTTTGGTTAAATGTCTTTCAAAATCTTTCTTTTCATATGAAACATTTACACATACATAAGGCTACCAAATATATAACTGGCTTATTTGTTTGTATAACTCTAGGTACAAAACTAATGAAATGCAGAGTCATGCATATGCTTTGATAAGCAGTTCTTTTCAAAGAGAAAAGAATTAAAATCTATGTGAGTCATTATTACATTTTCATCATCGTAATCAGATAAGCTCATATAGTTTATAGATATATATTTTATACACTATTTTTAAGATTCCTAAATCAGTATCAATCCAAATGTTTCTACATTTATCACCAAGGGACATAATTAATATTAGAAGTATCTATTACCTATCTTTGCTACTTTATTTTGTTGAATGTCAGCTCAAAAAACTAGTATGTTTACTGGAAGCCATGCCATTTCTATCATTTCATTGCCTCCTGAATGATAAAAATAACTCTCTTGATAAAGCAGTTTGAGCGGCTAATTAAGCCCAAATGATTAAAATCAACATTTGGTGCTTTCTCATCTTTTCCATTAAAAATAAATATATTCAATAAAAAAAATAGCTGCTACACTTCAACCATCATTTAAAATATCTGAAGGAAAATAAACACCCACCTTTGAGCCCGGAAGATATTTCTGCCAACTTGTCTCAAGCGTATTACATTATGATGACAATTGTCTGAAGTACTCTGGGGAAATGTGACTGATAAAACTTGATGTGTCAAAATCCAACCAGTGTGGCACATTTTGAAAAACTTCACTTCCTTAAGATTGTATTGTCATCAAGTTTTAAGACAGAGATGGGCTTAAATGTTTCAAGGTAGATGCTATGGCTATATTTAAGAACAGACTTTTTCTCCAGCAAATTCTGGGCAATACTCAGACACTGAAAAATGTGAATGCTTTATGTTTGAAAAAGTAACAAGTTCATTAAGGGAAGAAAGAGATTTATTATATCATTTCAAATTAAGAAGGTGTAGATAGTACATACTAATTTTATTACAGCAGAAGATTAAAATGTGGTGAAGGATGAAAAGGCATTTCTGGGCATAGAAAAATCCAGAGGGTATTAAAACATGAAATAGAAAGTATAGAAAATATCAGCAGCAGGAACATAGTTTTTAAAAGAAAGTTTCTTTAGAATATTGGCTATCTGGGAGCAGGACCAATGTTTTCGCTGCTAAAATACAATAAAATACAATAATGGGGATCCCTTCACCCTAAAGGATAAGAAAAACAAAGGTTAATGGATAGATTAAACTGAATGAATAGTCTCTCTTCCTCCAGTGTTTGTTAAACCTTTGTCATCATGATACTCACTGTTCACTAATAATTGATGAAAGAAAAATAAAAGGTGACAACTAACAAAACTATTAATGAAGAAACTTGGAAGCCACTGGCTGTGTTCTGGTTGTAACATTTACATATTTCAGGTGTGTAATAGAGC